AGTTTATAACGAACCATGGAAATATTAAGGGATTTTTATCAAAAATTGGCGCGATTGAAGACTCTAGCTGTCATTGTGGCAACGAATTCCAGAACTCGAGACACCTACTGCTGGAATGCCCACTCTTCTTTACCGCTAGACAACAGACAATGTTGTAGATCTATATCAATTTGTAAATAGCAGAGAGAATTATCATAGGTTTAACTATTTTTGTAAATATATTTATCATTTTCTTTCAAACCTGAAAGGTTCAGGTTCCTAATATATATTATTTTTTTCTCTTTTTATTTCGATTACTTTTTTTTTTGTAAAAATTTTATAACTGTTTCTGTTTTAAAAAAAAAATGTAAATCGACGCAATTATCCCTAGCCGGGATATCGCGTTTGTGTGTTGAAATAAATAAATAAAAATGAAAATATGATTACTTCATAAATTTAATATAATTAAAATACTATTGTATATATTCTATAATTACTGTTTTAACTGTAGGTACGATTGGAGTATATCTATTCTTCTGTTAATACTATTTTTGTCTTCTATAGATGCCCAGCTCTCTAGAAATAATCTTGCAAATATAGGATAAACATACAAGATAATTTATAGATAGCTGGGCATCTATAGAGGACAAATTAGCATTAACAGAAGAATAGATATACCACAATCATACCTACAGATAAAACAGTAATTATAGAATATATACAATAGTAATTTAATAATATAAAATTTTAAGAATTAATCATATTTTCATTGAACAGTTTGGCCATATCAATCTGCTTTATTCAAAACTTCGCCACTCGTGCATCACGTGAATATTTGCAAGGTTAGAATTCCCGAGTAAGATAGGCGAACAGCTTCATCGAAATATTGGAAGTTTTAATAAACTAGCCGAATGACCCAGGCAACGCCCGTGTTTTACCCGATTGAATGTTATTATTCAAATACTATTTGTTACAATTCTAAATTAGCGCCTTATATAAATGCATATGTTAGTTAATACCTATAGCCTATGTGCTTTATCTGTCTATGTACTGTTGTCTTCCGTAGGCGTCTCATACTGGGAAAAAGAAAGAGAGGATTCCATTTAGTTATTAACTAATATATGCATTTATTTAAGGAGCGACCCGCTCCAACACAATAGTTACATAAACGATAAAGCGAGTGGGGGTGGCATGATGGGGGGGGGGGGGGCAAAGGTGGCGTGATCGTAGCCAACCAATAGGAGGGCGCCATTCCAAACAAAAAGCAAACGGTGACAGAGATGACTGATTAGGAATGACGCTCGTAACTGTATATAGAATATTTTGATCTAATATAAGCGTTAATCTGTGGGGGCCGAAAGACTTCCTTCCTGCCTGCTGGGATTACGGACCACGCCTTCAACAAACATACAAACGGGGGACATGAAATAGGAGATGATCACCGCTGTGCGGCGTGGCATATAGGCGGGAGTCAACAGAACCAGAATAGACATTCTAGGGTGTTGTCCTTTTGTCTTCCTCTAAAAATGTAGCTAATAAGTAATACCAATTAAACACTAAATTTGGAATACTTTCTGGGCCATCGCTGGACTAATAAATCGACACACCTACAAATCATTCAAAATATAAGTTAATATAAAAAGTTATAAGATATATGTTTTATCATAGATTTAACTATTTTTTTAGATATATTTCTGATTATCTTTCTAACCTGAAAGGTTCAGGTTCCTAATATATATTATTGTTTCTCTTTTTTTTATTTTTGATTACTTTTTTCTTGGATAACTTTATTCAACTATAAATACAAAGCGCGATGTCCCGCCAAGGAGACTGGCGCCCAAAGGAAAAGCTATACAAGAGAGAGAGAGAGAGAGAGGGAGAATCTATTAATATATACAAAAACATATGCACAAGGCATTTACCATATGCACAAGGCATTTACCATATAACTGTGTATATGTTTATAACTGTTTCTGTTAATCGACTCAATTATCGCTAGCCGGGATATCGCGTTTTGTGTGTTGAAATAAATAAATAAATATAGTAGAATAATTTGTTTTGAAGAGATCAATTGTGAATCTCTACCGTTTAGTAGACATTATTCTTGTTTACATGAGAACTACGACCTTGGGGTTAGTTTATTCCTGGAGCTTATTTAATCCGTAATTTTTATGGATTCGTTCAAAAATCGATACTTTACGAGCTGTTTTTATCGCCGCGAAATATTTCGATTAATTTTCCTGGAAGAGGAAGAATGCTATGAGGAAATATTGCCCGATTATGCAAATCTAACGGTTTCTCCTCCGACCAGCGTGATGTATGGGGCAAAAATAAACACACGGGATCAGGTTCAAGAGATGCTCAAGTTCAAGGTTAGGAAGCTTACGGAATTCTCAAGATCCGTTCAAGGACTGTTCGGGATTTGTGGCTAATTGTGGAGGTGCTGTCATCGTCAGATTTTCCTGGATATAAATTATCTCGTTGCGGCATCTGCCTAGGGATTGGTTTGGGGATTGTAGAACTACGTAGGGATTGGTTTGGGGATTTTAGGAACTACGTAGGGATTGGTTTGGGGATTGTAGGAACTACGTAGGGATTGGTTTGGATTGGTTAGGGGATTGTAGGAACTACGTGGGGATTGTAGGAACTACGTAGGGATAGATTTGGGGATTGTAGGAATTGCCTAGGGATTGGTTTGGGGATTGTAGGAACTACGTAGGGATTGGTTTGGGGATTGTAGGAACTACGTTTGGGGATTGTAGGAACTACGTAGGGATAGGTTTGGGGATTGTAGGAATTGCCTAGGGATTGTTTTGGGGATTGTAGGAACTACGTAGGGACATGGTTTGGGGATTGTAGGAACTGCCTAGGGATTGGTTTAGGGATTATAGGAACTACGTAGGGATTGGTTTGGATTGGTTAGGGGATTGTAGGAACTACGTAGGGATATGGGTTGGGGATTGTAGAACTGTCTAGGGATATGGTTTGGGAATTATAGTAATTATAGTAACAATCCCTAGACAACCCATATCCCTACGTAGTTCCTACAATCCCCATCCCATGTCCCTACGTAGTTTCTACAATCCCCAACTTAAAATATCCTCCTCTTTGTTTTCGTCCAAGTCTTTTCCAAAATTACCATGATCTGTTTATGAATTGACCATTATCCATTTTTACTTATCCCAAAGTAAACGTACTACAAACCATGATAATCATAGTAAGTAGTTAGCGACTACCCTCTCTACCTTTCTTTTACTATACGTGCGTCACGTACATACATGTAGATAGCAGTTGTATTTTTGTACTTACAAGTGTTCTATAACCGTGTTTAGTTACTTGCACTCATTAGTGAAATAGGACTTTTTGAAAGAATCGGAGACCATTGAAACAAAAATTTTTTTTCTCAGAAAAAAGTGTCCAATGCGGGGTTCGAACCCAGATCGTTGCTGTCTATAGTCGACGTTTTATACCACTCGACCACCAAACCCCTCATTGAAGATAGTAAAAGTTGAATATAAACGTTGCACACCTATCCCGACACAGCACACGTCTATACATGTAGAAAGAAGTGAAATTGTTGAATTTACAAGTGTGCTACAACCGTGTTTAGTTACTTGCACTCACAAGTGCTGCACATGACTGGTACAGAGCAGGAAGGACAAGCACCGGTTCTGTCCTCCCAAGAGAACAACAGTCTTTGTTTTCCAGACTTAAGTCTGGTCATCTACGGACAATGACTTTCCAGAATGGCTGCAAGGTTTTCCCACTATGTACTAAGTGTCAACCTGCAACCCCAAAACACATTATTGACTGTATTGACTCATCCATTGATGAGCTCTACTCTTCCCCGGCAGACACCATCAATGATTGAGTGGAGATAAGAAAGAAGAGAAGAATGGTATAAGAATTTTTTAATAATCGGAGACCATTGAAACATAAATATATTCAGAAAAAAAAGTGTCCAATGCGGGATTCGAACCTAGGTCGTTGCTGTCGGGAGTCAACGTTTTATACCACTCGACCACCAAACCCACATTGAAGATAGTAAAAGTTTAATATAAACTCTACACACCTATCCAGACACAGCACACGTCTATACAATTTAAACAATTTTATTGATTCTTCTAATCAATTGTTATAAAGGTTGAAAAATATATAATAAAATAGTAAATAAAGGGTAGATAAAGTGTAGGAGAATATATATATAGTTGTATATGTACAAATGTCTTCAGCAAGGAAGGCTTCCCCACCTTGAGAGAGTCCTCCTCCAGACAAGGTCTTCACTCCTCAGTTCCACACCGAGGAAGTACTTATAGATGTGTGTCTTGGCAGACGTCAGGATGGCCAGGGCGTCATCGTCTAGGCCATGTACCCAGCCCTGCAGGTCAGGGGCTGCCCGATTATGGTAAATGCCTCCAGGATGAGAGGCCTGATGTAGCGGCAGGACCAGTGAACCAGCGACAGGTCGCCGGACCCACAGGCGATGCAAGACTGTTGTGCCGATACTGGATGGGGCAGAGCTAGCCTCACTGCCACGTCCGCGTTGTGCCCGGAGAAGGCGCAGCGCCGGAGCGACGACCAGCTGATGTTAATGGGTATGTAGAAAGAACATGTAGAAAGAAGTTCAATTTTTGTACTTACAAGTGTTCCATAACCGTGTTTAGTTACTTGCACTCACAAGTGCTGCACATGACTGGTACAGAGCAGGAAGAACAAGCACCGGTTCTGTCTCCCAAGAGAACAACAGTCTTTGTTTTCCAAACTTAAGTCTGGTCTTCTACGGACAATGACTTTCCAGAATGGCTGCAAGGTTTTCCCACTATGTACTAAGTGTCAACCTGCAACCCCAAAACACATTATTGACTGTATTGACTCATCCATTAATGTGCTCTACTCTTCCCCGGCAGACACCATCAATGATTGAGTGGAGATAAGAAAGAAGAGAGAGAGAGAGAGAAGAATGGTATAAGAATTTTTTAATAATCGGAGACCATTGAAACATAAATATCTTCAGAAAAAAGTGTCCAATGCGGGGTTCGAACCCAGGTCGTTGCTGTCGGGAGTCAACGTTTTATACCACTCGACCACCAAACTCTTATTGAAGATAGTAAAAGTTGAATATAAACTCTACACACTTATCTAGACAGTAGACAACAGGGAACAATACAATGGCATTGTAAGCGCCTAATTAAACCCACAAGAAGAAGAGGAAAGTGTTCAATCACTATACGTCCTTCGGAAACTAAATTGTTTTAATTTGAACTCTATGATTTCATCGTTGGCCTAACGTTCTTTCAGGTTGCTTACCTCAGCAATCTTCTTCTTCTTTCGCTCTTTGACATTTCCTGAACACCTTGACTTTGTTGGCATCACCATCATATCTTTCAATATCTTACTCATCTCTTCGATTAGCTTGTTCTTGATGCTTGTTAGGAAAAAGCCCTTCTTTAAGTCGTCTGCTTTCACATACTATTTTGCCTTTAATTTTTTTAGTACAGTAGAACCTCCCTTTAGTGGACACCCCGATAGCGGATACCACTTTACAAAGGACAGTTTTCATCCCTAAGGTTAGAAATAATCGTTATTTCTCCTTAAAATAAATTTCGATTTTTCGTTCAAAAGAAACACATGCGGGATAATTTTCAAATGGCGTTCTGCAGTTTTCATTTGCAAAATTTCCATTTTTACAATTAAGCAACTCTCCGGTAAGAGGACACCTCACCCTAAAGGACACTTTGGCTCCTGCAATTAGGTGTTGTCCTTTACAGGGAGGTTCTACTGTATTCAGTATTTCCTGAATTCTTACCCTCTGACTTATTAGTGCTCAATAAAGAAACACTCATCATCGTTAGCTTTTATCGCTTCTTAGCAATAATTTCCTGAAATTCCTCCTGTTGTAATTTTAACCTTATATTTAAGAGATACACTCATGGACAAAACTTAAGGAAGTTGTACCTCTTAGCATGTATATAGGGATTCAGACAATAACTCTGAAAGATACACCAATGAACAAAACTTAAGGAAGTTGTACCTCTCAGCATGTATATCGGGATTCAAATAATAACTCTGAAAGATACACTCATGAAAAAAACTTAAGGAAGTTGTACCTCTTAGCATTTATATCGGGATTCAGACAATAAATCTGAAAGATACACTCATGAAAAAAACTTAAGAAAGTTGTACCTTTTAGCATTTATATCGGGATTCAGACAATAAATCTGAAAGATACACTCATGAAAAAAACTTAAGAAAGTTGTACCTTTTAGCATTTATATCGGGATTCAGACAATAAATCTGAAATATACACTCATGAAAAAAACTTAAGAAAGTTGTACCTTTTAGCATTTATATCGGGATTCAGACAATAAATCTGAAAGATACACTCATGAAAAAAACTTAAGGAAGTTGTACCTTTTAGCATTTATATCGGGATTCAGACAATAAATCTGAAAGATACACTAATGAATAAAACTTAAGGAAGTTGTACCTTTTATCATGTATATCGGGATTGAGACAATAACTCTGAAAGATACACTCATAGACAAAACTTAAGGAAGTTGTACCATTTATCATGTATATCGGGATTCAGACAATAACTCTAAAAGATACACTCATGGACAAAATTTAAGGAAGTTGTACCTCTCAGCATGTATATAGAGATTCAGACAATAACTCTGAAAGATACACTCATGAACAAAACTTAAGGAAGTTGTATCTTTTGGCAAGCATATCGGGATTCAGACAATAACTCTGAAAGATACACTCATGAACAAAACTTAAGGAAGTTGTACCTCTCAGCATGTATATCGGGATTCAGACAGTAACTCTGGAAGATACACTCATAGACAAAACTTAAGGAAGTTGTACCTCTCAGCATGTATATCGGGATTCAGACAATAACTCTGAAAGATACACCCATGGACAAAACTTAAGGAAGTTGTACCTCTTAGCATGTATTTCGGGATTCAGACAATAAATCTGAAAGATACACTCATGAACAAAACTTAAGGAAGTTGTACCTCTTAGCATTTATTCAGGAAATCTGACAATAAATCTGAAAGACACACTCATGGACAAAACTTAAGGTAGTTGTACATCTTAGCATGTATATCGGGATTCAGACAATAACTCTGAAAGATACACTCATGAAAAAAACTTAAGAAAGTTGTACCTTTTAGCATTTATATCGGGATTCAGACAATAAATCTGAAAGATACACTAATGAATAAAACTTAAGGAAGTTGTACCTTTTATCATGTATATCGGGATTGAGACAATAACTCTGAAAGATACACTCATAGACAAAACTTAAGGAAGTTGTACCATTTATCATGTATATCGGGATTCAGACAATAACTCTGAAAGATACACTCATGGACAAAATTTAAGGAAGTTGTACCTCTCAGCATGTATATAGAGATTCAGACAATAACTCTGAAAGATACACTCATGAACAAAACTTAAGGAAGTTGTATCTTTTGGTAAGCATATCGGGATTCAGACAATAACTCTGAAAGATACACTCATGAACAAAACTTAAGGAAGTTGTACCTCTCAGCATGTATATAGGGATTCAGACAATAACTCTGAAAGATACACTCATGGACAAAACTTAAGGAAGTTGTACCTCTCAGCATGTATATCGGGATTCAGACAATAACTCTGAACGATACACCATGAACAAAACTTAAGGAAGTTATACTTATTAGCATGTATATCAAGATTCAGACAATAACTCTGAAAGATATTTGATACATGATAACCTTTATTGAAGATACACGTAGTGCCTCTGTCTCCTTCAAAAACAGACCACCGGTGTGACATCAAAGACTTTCCACTTTCATAAATTTTGTCAATGGGTATATATATAAAAATGAAACATATTAATAATTCATAATTAAGATATTTTTATATCATAAACACAGAATTAATTTATCTATTTATTTCAGATCAAAGCGCTATATCCTGTAAGATACATTTGCCTCCAGTAGAACATGAGTGACATAACCCTATATACATTATCTGCATAATATTTATAAGAACAGAGATTATATTTCGCCATTGAAAATAACAGTACATTAAGTAAAAGTAAATATTCGAAAAAGGAAAAAGATCTCTGGGGAAAGAGTTTCTTTGGGGTTTTGAGGTGTTGCAAGCTTTCTGGCAAATTTTGCTGTTCAACGAGCAAATCCAATAACAACAAGCCTTTTATTGGAGACTTGTGTTCTATAAAGGATTCGCCCAGGTGCATAATTGCTTAGAAAAAAAGATGAGTTATTTATTTACATACATCATTCATTTACATATCCATTTACATACGGCTCTCTTTTGTCAATGTTTCTTCTCTTGCTCAGATCCCACAGAGTGGGCAGGTCGATGTGATGGCTGGTGTTACCCACCTCAAGACCAAGATGGTACTTGTAGATGGTAGCCTTCGCTACACTTGTTATTGCCTCGGGTTGGAGGCCGACACCGAAGAGCCAGAGAGAATATTTCTAGGAAAATATTGCTCAGACAAGTAAATAATATTGCGACGTTGAAAATTAAGAAAGACAAACTTCAGGATGACACAGCAATTTATTTAGGCAAGAACAAACTATGAATGATAAACAAAAGATAAGTAATAGAGAAGTTTACAGAGTAGCAAATTATAAGCATAAAAAATTGTTACTCTGTTAAATAAAATAATAAATACTTTGTTACATAGCTCCTTCCCTATGGGAGCTGTAATCCATAGCTTTCAATTATTGTAGTTACTGACATGAATCTGACGTGCTTCTGCCAAGGATTCCATCGAAGTCTTGGAACTTTGTCCCTAGTACCATTGCGTCCTTTTTCTTGCGGCGTGAAGAGCGGCTTTGTAGTCGTATCGTCTATAGGGACATCGTCATCTTGGAAGGAAGTTTGGCTTTGACACGGCGGTGGAATCCTGGAGCCAGTCTCTGAAAATGTAGATCACAGCACCCATGGCCTCGAGGTCTTCTCGGCGATCTTCAGTTTGTCTTCCTTAACCCTTTAAGCACCAGGCAAGACGATGTATCGTTTTGATGTGATCGTGTTGATTGTAACCTTTTCTCCTTAAAATAATCTAATGAAAATTAATTAATTGTATTTTAAAGCGTATATTCTGTTGCATTGTGTTTCATATGTTTGTATAAATTATAAAAGCGTTTATTAAAAAAAATAATTTGAAGAATAGTTTGATGTCTTTTGAAGGCTAATAATAATCAGGAATGACCTTGAAAACGGCCGGCGCCTAAAGGGTTAATTTACCCAGCATCTCCACCAAAATGCCATGTGGAAAATTAGGAAAGACAAACTTCAGAATGGAAATATCTTTATTTACGGGGCTGCTAACCAAAATGAATGCTTTTGAGCCCCGATGGACGCATAAAGCGGAATATATACAAAGTACTGTTGGAGGGGCCTGGGGATGGGTGTCCTGAGGATCATCGCCAGGTGAGTAAAAAAAACTTCAGGATAACACAGCAATTTATTTAAGTCAAGAACAAACTATGAATGATAAACAAAAGATAAGCAATGAGGAAAGTTTACATCAAAATATAAACATAAAAAATTGATACTCTGTTAATATAATAATAAATACTTTGCTACAATATTAAAGAGAAATGTCTCAGACGGGAGTTATGCAACTCAGCCGACGGCGGGGGAGGCCACGACCTTGACGTGACCCAGCAGAAGAACGATGGGACCATTGATAGGTTAATTCAAGCTAATGAGGCACGTGGTATCTGCTGCCTCAAAACAAAGTCTGGATTTGAATATGCAAATATGGTCGCGGGAAGCCTTGTTTCCTTGGAGAGATTAACCTGTTGATTGTGGGATGTATAGAAGACAACGTCTTCTGAGTGAAATTTATTATCAGCTTTATTATGATCTGTTTCTATTTATGAAGTAAATATCGTTTATTGAGAGAGGGTTTTATTGATTATATATTCAGTTAAATTCTTCACTGGACATGGCGACTTCAACTCATACCTGTTTAAAATTGGCAAAGCTGAATCACCTGGATGCTCGTGTGGAGGCGAAGAACAGAACCCATGACACTTATTAACTGACTGCCCGCTGACCT